ACTACATCTCTCTCGTTCAAACTTGTTTGTTCATTAAAAAAAAAAAAAAACTTATAGCTGGCTCGTATTGTGCTAAAATATTACAACAACATATAGCAAACTGCTCAATAATTACCCTTGAGGGGGGAAGTTTGAACCTGGGGACCCAAAATGGTCCCTCATAAAAGGGTCACAAAAATATATTAATATTTTTTTTCACTTTCACCGCATAAAATCTTTTCAACAACTCCAGACCTAACCATAGATATAAAGTTTTTATAATTTTTTTAAATTGTTTTACGTTTTTATGCCGTTTTGTCATAAAAACACCTAATTTTCTCAATGGGAAAAACACAAAATAGGATTATTTTCCAAAAATGAGGTGCAAAGTGGAATATTTGGGATGAGGTTATAAGAGCCTTGACTAAGTCAATAATTGATAACAACATTTTGATTTGATGCATTATACATATTTTGGAGCAAGTAGTTTTTATTCGCAAAAATTTAAAGTTTGAACCTAGGGTCACAAAAATGTCATATATTCAAATTTTTTTTTCAATTTTCACCACATCGAAATCTTTTCAACAACTTCCAGACTAACCAAGATATAAAGTTTTTATAATTTCTTAAATATTTTTTATGTTTTTATGGCCATTTTTGTCATGTGTATTGTCTTTTGCGTATGTTCACAACAAGGCATAATCACTGATTTGAGGTGCATTTTACATGCCCATGTGCTCACATTTAAGCGTACTTTTGTCCAAACCATTCTGCACTGTGGGCACCAAGACACAACTGCCTCTGCTTTCTGACCATGGACCTGGTTGGGCTTTGTAGGACCAGGCTGGCTGGGCAGATGTCCTCTCGGGCAACTGGCAGGGACTCTCCATGTGTGGGGGACCATAAGATTTCCCCATTTTTTGGTCTCCATGGAGCAGTGTCATCCTCCATTGCCTGTAACTCTAATTCCTCCTCCTCCTCTTCCTCCACTGAGCTGCAGGGCAATGTGTCCAAGTCGGGCCCGAGGTGAAAGGTTGTAGATATAGGTGCGAATCTCCTATCCTATACACCTTACGATAGAGGGGATCATGGAATTTTAAAAATAATAATAAAAAACTAATCTTGACCAAGTTTTATACAATTAGCCTTTAAACTGACCGATATATTGAGAATCAAACAAGTCAAAAAGGCAGAATGTACACGTTTGGTCCCCCAAGGTGCCTCAAGGTTAAGAGTGGACGGCAAACAGGAAAGCAGAAATGAGTATGTTGAGTAGTTATTTCTTTAATTTATTACTTAAAGGCTATGTCACTGTTGTTTTTTGTAATGTTTGTTGAAATACATGGGATTTATTGTTTTGTTTTTGTTTGTTTTTATTGAACTGGGTATAGAGAATTGTGGAATTTCACTGTTATTGGCATCGATTACTAAATGCCTCGTATCGTGACTTAGGTAGGAAAAAAACCTGCATGTCCTTGGACTGTGGGAAGAAACCAGAGTACCTGGAGAAAACCCACACAGACACAGGGAGAGTGATGAGTATAATGAGTGTAGGTAGACAGACAGAAAGACAGACAGACAGACAGATCATTTCATAAATACATACCTTGGAAATGAGCTATCATCATCCACACACATTCACACTTTTGGACTTAACCTGTCTTTGGACTGTCGGAGTAAACCAGAGCACCTGCAGAGAACACAGGGAGTGGTGAGTATAATGAGTGTAGGTAGGCCGGGTTGGGTGGGTAGACAGGTAGGGTGTAAGGTAGATAGGGTATAGTATGGTAGGGAGGGAGGTAGGTTAGTGGGGTAGAGTTGGGTAGGGAGTTTGTGGGACGAAGAGCACCTGGAAAAAATCCATGCAGACACAAGGAGAGTGATGAGTTTAATGAGCATAGGTAGACGGATGGACAGACAGACAAATAAAGAGAGAGACAGATAATTTCAAAAATACATACCTTGGAAATGAGCTGTCATCATCTACACACATTCACAATTATGGACTTAACATGCTTACTTAACCTGTCTTTGGACTGTGGGAGGAAACCAGAGCACCTGGAGAAAACCCACGCAAACACAGAGATAGTGATGAGTATAATGAGTGTAGGTTAGTAGTGTTGGGTGGGTAGAGAGGGAGGGTGTGAGGTACATAGGGTATAGAATAGTAGGGAGGGAGGTAGGTTGGTGGGGTAGAGTAGGGTAGGGAGAGAGGCAGGGTAGGGTGAGTAGGTAGGGTTAAATGGGGTAGGGAGGGTGGGAGGTAGATAGGGTATAGTAGGGAGGGAGGTAGATTGGTGGGGTGAGGTAGGGTAGGGAGAGAGGTAGGGTAGGGTCAGTAGGTAGGATTAAATGGGGTAGGGAGCGTGTGAGGTAGATAGGGTAGAGTATTTTAGGGAGGGAGGGAGGTAGTGTATGGTGAATAGGTAGGGTAGAATGGGGTAGATAGGGTTGAGTGGGTAGTAAGGTAGGGTTGGTAGGTAAGTACGATAGGGTGGGTAGGGTAGGGAAGTAAGTATGATAGGGTGCGTAGGGTAGGAAGGTAGGTAGTTAGAGTAGGATAGGGATACAGACTGGGAGACTTTAGGGTGGGTAGGAAGGTTGGGTAGAGTAGCGTAGGTTAGTAGGGAAGAATAGAGCAGGGGAGGAGGGTTGGCAGGTCAGAGTAGGGTAGGGAAGGGTCGGTAGGTAGGGTAGGGTGTTAGATAGATTAGATTAGGTTATGTTGCTTGTCTTAGAAGGGATGAGGAACTGTTTGTAGGAAGTTGTAGTAGGGCTCTAGGAGCTGGTAGGCACAGTCTGACGGGCAGCAGTTATGGACTGTATTGCAGTTGGCAGTCACTTGGCTGGCCAGGATACCCACAGGAATAAATAGACCTGCAGTGGTAATGCCAATATGCAAACCTACTTTCAGTAAACCTTTAGTATAGCGACGCCACAAACTTCCGGTCGGAACCAGGAGGCTCTCATGGGTCTGCTCCTCAGGGGAGTCCAGTTGTTCTGTATTTTCAGCATTTCTAGACTCCTCTCTGAAATTGACATCGCCTAATATATTCTCCTCCTGCCTCGTCTCTATCAGCTCTTTAAGCTCATGGATTGACTGTTTCATGTCAGTTGTGCTGATATAAAGCTCCTCTATCAGCTCCTGCTTATAAGCAGTTTCCCTCTCTTGCTTTCTTATTAGCTCATCTTTATTCCAGATTAGTATTTTAGCCTCCTCCAGCTGGCACTGAAGATCTTGTACAGTTATCTTCAGGTTTTTGTTCTTTTCGTTTAGTTTCTCTGCCAGAGGCTCAAGTCGGGCCAGTTCATCAGCCATGCTCTCATTCTGCTTATTCAGAAATCCTTCTTTTTCCTGAAGATCATGCAGTGCTAGCCCCAACTGTTTGATCTCTGCCTGTTTTTTCTCCATAAGAGATTCAACGTGAGTCAGCTTCTGCATTACCTCATCCACATCTCTGTTAACTTCCTGAGCTTCTCTTACTTGACACTGAAGTTCACATACTGCTGCCCTCAGACTTTCAATCTCACCTTGTTTTTTCTCTCGCAGAGATTCATGGTGGGCCACCTCAGCCATCAGGCTCTCAGTTTTCTCATTTAAGATTTTCACATTTTCCTGTAGATCATTAACTTCTGACCACAGATATCTATTCTCTGCCTGTTTTTTTTCTATAAGAGATTCAGCCAGTGCCAGTTCGGCACATATGTTCTTATTCTGCTCGTACAGAGAGGTCTCCCTTACCTGCAGATCCTGGACTGCTGCTAACAGGTTTTTGTTCTCTGTTTGCAGTTTGGCCACCTTCTGCAATAGCTCATCTTCAGCACTGTGGTTTTGCTGAACCTCCTCTGCGCATTGCTCAAGGTCATACACTGTTGCTTTCAGTTTTTGAATCTCTGCTTGATTTTTCACATACAGGCATTCAAGTTGGGCCACGTTAGCACTGAGATTCTTGTTCTGCTCATTTAGAATCATCTCATTGTCCTGAAGACTCTGCAGTTCTGCCCTCAGCTGTTCAACCTCTGCATGTTTTTTCGCATTGAAGCATTCAAGTTGGGCCATGTCAGAAGTGAGATTTTTGTTCTGCTCATTTAGAACCATCTCATTGTCCTGAAGACTCTGCCATTCTGCCCTCAACTGTTCAGCCTCTGCAAGTTTTTCCTCTTTGAGAGATTTTAGTCGGTCGTGTTCAGCAGTGAGGTTGTCCCTCAGGAGCTTCTTCTTTTCCCGTAGATCCTGGACTGCTGCTAACAGGCTTTCGTTTTCTGTCTGCAATGCAGCCACCTTCTGTAGTAGCTCATTTTCAACACTACAGTCTTGCTGAGGCTCTGTTGCGCATTGTTCAAGGTCATACGCTGTTGTTCTCAGCTGTTCAATCTCTGCCTGATTTTTCGCATAGAGGCACTGAAGTTGGGCCACGTTAGCAGTGAGATTCTTGTTCTGCTCATTTAGAACCATCTCATTGTCCTGAAGACTCTGCAGATCTGCCCTCAGCTGTTCAACCTCTGCATGTTTTTTCGCATTGAAGCATTCAAGTTGGGCCATGTCAGCAGTGAGATTCTTGTTCTGCTCATTTAGAACCATCTCATTGTCCTGAAGACTCTGCAGATCTGCCCTCAGCTGTTTAACCTCTGCATGTTTTTTCGCATTGAAGCATTCAAGTTGGGCCATGTCAGCAGTGAGATTCTTGTTCTGCTCATTTAGAACCATCTCATTGTCCTGAAGACTCTGCAGTTGTGCCCTCAACTGTTCAACCTCTGCATGTTTTTTCTCTTTGAGAGATTTCATATGGTCACGTTCAGCAGTGAGGTTGTCCCTCAGGATCTTCTCATTTGCCTGTAGGTCCTGCACCGCTGCTAACAGATTTTTGTTTTCTGTCTGCAGTCTGACCACCTTCTGTAATAACTCATCTTCATCACTGTGGTCTTGCTGAGCCTCCTCTGCGCAATGCTCAGAGTCAAATGCTGTTGCCCTCAGCTGTTTAACCTCTGCTTGATTTTTCGCATTGAACCATTCAAGTTGGGCCATGTTAGCAGTCAGATTCTTGTTCTGCCCATTCAGAATCATCTCATTGTCCTGAAGACTCTGCAGTTCTGCCCTCAGCTGTTTAACCTCTGCATGTTTTTTCACATTGAAGCATTCAAGTTGGGCCATGTCAGCAGTGAGATTCTTGTTCTGCTCATTCAGAATCATCTCATTGTCCTGAAGACTCTGCAGTTCTGCCCTCAGCTGTTCAACCTCTGTGTGTTTTTCCTCTCTGAGAGATTTTAGTCGGTCGTGTTCAGCAGTGAGGTTGTCCCTCAGGATCCTCTCATTTTCCTCTAGATCCTGCACTGCTGCTTTCAGATTTTCAATTTCAGTTTTTTGTGTATCACTTAGAGATTTGAACTGGAGCAGCCCAGCAGTCATATTTTCATTCTCTTCATTCAAACCCAACTTCTCTTCCAGCTTTCTTATGTAAGTGTCATTTTTATCCCTGAAACTTTTTTCCTTGGACAGAAGGTTCAAGACCTGGGTCAGTTCTTTCTTTATCTCTGTGTTTTCACTGACCGACTCCTGCAGCATGGTTTTCTCAGCCCTCATAACTTTTAAGCTCTGCTGAAGTATCTTTACCTGTGATTGGAGCTTAAAGTTGTACTCCTTATAAGTTCTGCACTTGATGTCCAGCTCATGAACTCTTCGTTGAGGCTTCCACGACTCAAGTATTTCTGCCTCCTCTGACGCAGAGAGGCGACGTGATTCCGCTGAACCACAATGAGCGACGTTGAAATTATCTTGAGACATACTTAGCTCAGGAATTAAGTTCAGCAAAGATACAAAAAAGGTTATTTACCTGTAAATAAGTAACTATTTATAGGTAAATAATTATTTACCAGTCTATTGTTTTCTACTGTATATAATTTTCGTGTGTAACGTGTGTTTCTGTGAGTAGCAAAAACGGAACTAGAACTAAATCTTATACGACCCTAGGTTGTGAAATGCTAAAACAATCTACTTTGTAACCTTCTTTAATCTTCTGGAACAAAGCCACGCATGACGTCATCTGATCTTTTATCTGATAAAAAGATTTTTTTGTGCCTCAACCGCGTCAGTGGTGACGTAATGACACTCCATGGCGCATGCCCCGGAGATCATTCTGCGCACTACTCGCCACAGAATGTTTAAATAATTTAATCTCATTGTTTAAAAGACTTCTTAGCACACTGCAGACCCAGGAAGCCTACAGCTGGAGTACAGCTGGAACTCATGATATGGCGGATTTCAGGTGTTTATATTCTGACATCGGTACACATCATGTAAGTATTGCTTGACTCATGATGATTTGATGTATGAATGAATGCGTGATGTACCGTGAGTTCCTGTCGCTCACCAGTAATGACCATGTCAATTTGACTGTGTGTTTAGTGCACACTTCATAGTCAGCTGGATTTCAGTTACACACGTCAGGAGTGGGTTAGTTGCTCCTCTGTGCGCGGATACATTATAGGTGGGTGCGTTAAAGGCTGTGACTATCATGGCCAAAAACATCTGCTGCGTTCATAAATACAGACGGAATGACAGTATGGGAATTCTCGGAGTATGGTTTTCCCTCAGAGAAAACAAGTTTCACAAATGAATACAGCAGGCACCTGCGTGCGCTGCATCTTTCGGTCCGCTGGGGGTAAGCAAATACTGCTGCAGTAATTAGACTGGAGATAGATAGGTTAGCCTTTGCAACACACATAGTTTGCTATTTATAGGGCCTAAATGAATAATATTTAGAAAGGATCACAAATATCAACTTCACTTCAATGATTCAATTTTAATTTAATCAAATTAATCACAATAGACTATAACTACAGACTATAACTACATGGCAGTGTGGTAAAAATGCATGTACATATATTACAGTTAAGGTATATTTTCTTCTGATAACATGTACATTAAACCTCTCTCTCTCTTTCTCTCTGTGAAAAACTGGATGTTCTCTGTATGAAAAACATATTATGTTCACATGATGGAATGTAAGAAACATCTGCTTTATGTTATATGTAGGTAAAAAGACAGCTATGTTCTGTTTTCATATAGGGTGATAAAGTGATAGCTGGAGCATTTCCCATAGCAGGAAATCCTGTCAGTTTTGTAGCCTACAGAATATTTACATGCGAGTATATAAGAGTTGAGCAGGACGAGAGAAGGAATTCGGCCAGAAGATGCATCTGACACTCACTTGTTTTTGTTTAATAAAGTCCTAAATTATACAAAGCAGGAAGGATGGTGGACCTTTTCTTTTTCAGTAATCCACAGACCAACTTTTGGCAGCCGCGAAAATACACCACACAGTGGTAAACAGAAGAAGGAAAACGTGTGAACAAACACTTTGAGATGTTACTCTCAACTGAACATAATTATGTAGAACTTGACTGTCTTCTTGTTTTTTTTCGACTCAGCGTGATTGCTTTGCAGGAATTGTAATGTTAATTCCAAACCACGAGAATTCAATCAGAGAACTCAGCAAACACTTGCAAAAAGTAATCTATGGACTTGGGATGCAAAATTACTTATTACTTCTAATATCTGAATATGAAGCCAAGGATGGTTTGAACCAAAAAATGTGTCCCCGAAGAATTGTTTTACTTAATAAACTAGCTGAAACAATATTGTGTATTAATTAATTTTAATTTTTAATTAAAATTAACTAAAATAAAATATAATATATGGGAAATGTTTTGTCAATTGGTGAAATTTGTGAACAAAACAAGTATGAGGAGACACTGGTATTTATGGTGGTTTGTGAGCACTGCCAGGGGAAGTGAATAACAGTGATTATCTGGTTATCGTGGCTCCTGTCAGTGGGGGGATATATCAGGCAGCAAGTGAACATGTACTCAAAGTTGATGTGTTAGAAGCAGGAAAAATGGGCAGCGTGA